CTTGCGTATTTAAAACAGACCTTATATAGCATATAATTTTAAAAAACAAGGAACCTAACATTCATCGAGTGATTGATTGGTTAATGGATCTTTAAAATATTGTCAGCGAAGGGATTTCGCCATTTTATATCATTAACTTTACTAATTTACTTTTTTGTATGAATGATTCATTATATATATATATATATATATATATATATATATATATATATATATATATATATGCACATTTCATTGAATGCGACAGAAAAGGTGCTTTGATTATTTTTTTATACAAATTTCTCATGCATTCTAATATTTTTAAATTTTCAGATGATATATTATATAAAAACTGTCGAATGTTCTTTTTATCCGAGCGCTTTCGGCTATACATTTAGCCATTTTCCATTACTATAATTTATTTTCCCAGAAAAATATTTATCCTGGTTCATCAGATCACATCTCTAGTTACCTAGTTAACTAGAGATGTGATCTGATGAAACAGAAAAAAATATATTTTCTGGGAAAATAAATATAATCTTCAATCTTAAGGTTGTCTCTTTCTTAATTATTTAATATATATATATATATATATATATATATATATATATATATATATATATGTATTTATATATATATATATATATATATATATATATATATTGTGTATTTAGACAGCATTTTTCATTCATACATGGATCAATATTGTGATTTTCTTTCTTCGTTTAATGATAATGTTATTAAGCTTATCAGACATTATGAAAAGAATTTACATAAAATAGACAACACTTGTCTATATTATTTAATGAAACATATATATATATATATATATATATATATAATTAACCGGATATAAGAGACCCGGATATAAAAACCCGGATATAAGAGATTTTCTCTGGTCCCAAATTAGAGCCTGTGTTAATGTATATAAAATAGACCAAACCCGGATATAAGAGAAACCCGGATATAAGAGACTTCACCGGTCCCGACAACTCTCTTATATCCGGGTTACTCTCTCTCTCTCTCTCTCTCTCTCTCTATATATATATATATATATGTAGGAAATGGATTAAATCCAACATATTTTTAATGTATTTGTTTAAACGTTATTTCAAATGGATGCTAATATTTGAGTAGATGCTCATTTTCTTTATTTATCTATTTATTAGACAGTGGATTTATTTACATCTACCGGCCTGAATATTCAGGAAATCTTGTTAGAAATATATGCGCTCTCCGGTAGGATTTGAATCTGCGTTCCCGGGGGAAACCGTCATTAGATCTGACGTGCCTTGATCTTTCGGCCACGTAGGACCTCCTGATCAAACAAAATCAGAATAGTGCCTTTGAACACATATCTTTCCGATTCCTGAAATATACATATCTGCTCGGTTTCGTATCCTATCGTAAACAAAGACAATTTTTTTAGGAAATGGATTACATCCGACATATTTTTAATTTTTTTTAAACGTCAGGTGTAAATAAATAAATCTACAGCTTAATAAATAAAAAGAGAACATCTACTCAAATACGAGTATCCATTCAAAATAACTTTTTTCCTAATTCATATGTATTAGGAAAAAATGTATTATCAACTGCCCCACGACAAAAATTTCCAAATACATAGACCATTACATACAACCGCTAGTTAAGGAAGTAAAATCCTACATCAGAGACACAACAGATCTACTGAACAAAATTAATCACATACAAACAGTACCAGAGAATGCTATTCTAGTGACTATGGACGTTAGGACACTCTATTCAAACATTAAACACATAGAAGGGCTAACCTCCCTTCAGGAAGCACTTACTAAAAGAAGAAAACAAGACCCCCTCCCAAAGAAGTCATCAGAAAACTCATGGAGCATGTCCTTACATTGAATACTTTCAACTTCAATGGAGCACACTACCTTCAAATAAGAGGTTGTGTCATGGGCACCATTGCAGCTCCATCATATGCTACAATATTCATGGGAAAATTTGAGGAAACCCATATCTATCCAATCATTGGTAGCGACTGCGTATTCTATGCAAGATATATCGATGATATATTCTTTGTATACACGGGTAGTCATGACAAACTTACCCAATTCCTTATGACCCTAAACACAGTGCACGACTCAATTAAGTTTGACTATGAAAAATCCACAACATCAGTAACATTTTTAGACACCCGCATTTACATAGATGAAAACAGGAAACTACAAACGACACTACACACTAAAATCACCGACACCCACAACTATCTACACTTTAAGTCTTCCCACCCTAAACACCTCAAAGAGAACCTTCCCTATTCAAAAGCAATTAGACTCAGAAGGATATGTTACAACAATGAAGAATTAAATAAACACATTGAAAATCTGGAGCATCAATTCACAACACGTGGCTATAAACAACACCTAATCAGGGAACAAATAAATAAAGCAATTTCCACACCCAGAGAAGACACCCTAATGTACAAGATTAAAAATAAATCTAGCCGCATCCCTCTAGTAACCACTTTCAATCCCACTCTGCTTCCACTATCCCAGATAATCAAACGTCGCTGGGAAATACTACATCTCAAATCAGACCTAAAAAAACTGTTTAAGGAACCCGGCCTTCTGGCATATCGTATACCTAAGAACCTAAAAGAAATCATAGGTAGTAACCACATTTCAGGGGACAAGGTAATCCGTAATAAACTAAGAACAAAAACAACAGGATTTTCCCAACCATGTAACAACAAAAGAAGTTTATGTTGCAACCATATTAAAAACACGAATTCATTCACTAGCTCAATCACTAAATCTACTTTCAAAATCTACCACGATTCAAACTGTAGAAGTCATAACATAATTTACCTCCTAGAATGCACACTATGCCAGAAACAATATGTTGGAAAATCTGAATGGCCCTTTCACTACAGAATTAATAATTATCGTAAGCGAATTAAGTCGACTCCCCATGAAAAATTATTACCTGTAGAACAACATTTCCGCCTGGAAAAACATGATAACCCATGCCAAATTCACTATAATTGAGAGAATAGAAAAGTTCAGAGCAGATAACATTAGAAAGATATTAGAGTCCCATGAAAATAAGTGGATACAACGTCTAAAAACAAAATATCCAGCCGGGCTAAACCATAAATTTAACAATATATAGATAGTATCAATATATAACTCAACAAAGCAAAACCTACCCACATTTCTCACCCACACAAGACAGACATGCTTACGGAGGTGTGGAGGTCTCACACTTATACACTCACCCACACGAATATACACACTTACACACATCATACTCACTCACTCCCTAATGAGCCAAATGATAACACACACCCACAGCAATACACACGCTTGCACATATCATACTCTCTCACTCCCTAAGAACCAAATAACACACACACAAACACTAAACAGAGACACATCCCCTTACCAGGTCCAATAAAACTGTCAAACTGACCAGAGAATTCAGAGCAACATGTATCTATCCAGCTCTTATCTCAAATAACAATTTAAAAGAGACTGTTTGACCAACACAAGGAATGTTAAAAGATTCATGTTAAAAAGAGAAAAAAAAAAAAACAAATGAAAACTACAGACAAAAGTTTATTTTCTCCATCAAGACATTCATTTCTGTAGTTTACTGCTACCAGCAAGCAGAAATATTTCTCCTCCCGTTGATGGCCATTTTGATCGAAACTAGTCGAGGAATCTAAATGGAATAATAATAAAAAAAACGAAAGAATATTAATCTACAATCCAGTGTGTCTAAAGATTTAATTTTTTTTATTTTTTTATTGTTCAATAGTCAGATAATTGAGTTCACCCATATAGTGAAAACCCGCGTAAATAGCGAAGAATGGCGATTTTTTACTGGTTTCTTTCATATTTTTTGTTGATCTTTCAATCAGTTTTCATCAAACTTAATTGCTTCATAGAGGTATCCTCTTTTACATCCCTGGTAGCACACTGACAAATTGAATGTCAAAACTCCAAAATAATTGTGGTCTTCATGTTGTTTGTTTTACCCGTTCACGTCCTCAGCTAACTTCGATTGAATAAATACAGATTACTTCTGTTATATCAGTAACTGCATTAATTTAAAATGTTTATTTTAATGAAAGTACTTTTTAAGTAATTGAAGAAGATAGACTCTGTTACATGATGTTGTTTTTGCTCCATTCTAATTGAACGCTTTTTCTGATCGACCAGTTGGGTATGGTTGCTAGTATATAATACTGGGTTATTGTGAATTAAAGTTATAAAATAAAGGAGTTGTTAGATTTTTAAATACCTTGGTGACTTTTGGCACACCTTGTATCAGGATTACTAGTGGCTACAATTTGAAAAGCGATGTTTTACTCCAAATAATCTGGATTAGAATTTATCATCTATTTCGTTAGGAACTCCGTGAACTAAAAAAAAGCTAATTGTTCACGAGAGCCAGTTAAGTGCAGTCCGTGATCATATCTCTTTTGATTAGTGAGTGACTAGAGTGAAGATTGCCGTTTCTTTCTACGTTAGACTGGTTGCCAACCAAGGCCCCAGTTTGGAGGGAGTTGAGATGGATTTATACCTTTCCGAAGAGTATTTTGCGCGCAAATGTAAGTAAAGAACACGACTGGTATTCGAACTAGACCCTCTGGTTTCTCATTCGGAGCCGTGGTGGATATCAGCTTGGAATGAGAAATCATGGTAAGGAACGTTAAAACGCACAACAGCACTCAAGCTCGGTGGCTAGCTGCAGCTGCATCGATCGTTCAGACCTTCGATCGATCGATCGATCAGTCGACATAGAGCCGAATCAATGCGAACTGGACACAGAGCCGTTACAGCGCCACTGGATTCGTGCTGCACGGTCTGATAACGAGCAAAAGTGAGACGTGTACCATCACTTTCTCTGTTTTTCTGAGACAGTCTTTAGATTGGCGGCCGACAGGAGAAGTTTCTTGAAAAGGTCGATTTTTTGAAAGCGGGGTGGGGGCGGTGGTTAGCCGGATCAGGGTCGTCTGGTGTCGCCGATAGTGG